ACTGTAATGTCAGTGACACCAAGTCAATTCCCCCCCAGTGTCAGAATGCCCGCCGTAATCCCGCTATAAATCACTGATCGCCGCCATTGCTAGTAAAAAAAACAACAGTATCTATACCACCATTTGTAAACACTATAACTTTCACATAAACAAATTAATATACACGTAGCATTTAGCAGAATTCATTTTGCCCTAAATTTGACAAAATTAGATTTTTTTTTTTTTTTTTTTTTTTTTTGCTGGACAAATTTAATAGCAAAAGTCAAAAATATTTTTTTTTTTTTTTGCTTTTTTTTTTTCTCAAACTTGTTTTTTTTATAGTGCAAAAAATAAACATTGCACAGGCGATCAAATACCACCAAAAGAAAGCTCTTTGGGTGCAACGTTGGGTGCAACGTTGCATGACCGCACAATTGTCAACGCAGAGAGTAAAAATGGCCTGGTCAGCAAGGGAGGCAAGTGACTAATTGCACATTTTGGTTCTTAAACTTGACTTTGTCAGTTGAGGAAATCTGACCAAAAAATCTGTACCAGTAAAGGAGACTGTAAATACTGCCACTGGCTGACTGCTGAGCTCCACTCTACTGAGAGAAACCCACCACTGAAAATTCAGCACCCAGACGGCAGATGAATAAAAATTTGGATTTTTGAGCAGCCCATAGATTAGTCATTACATTTTTTTTCCTTTGTTCAACCAGCAGTTTGAACAAAAAAAAAGACTAAATTTTCCCATCCACACACATCCTCCCCACTGAGGTAATGTACACTGACACCAGAGAGGGGAAATTAATTCTCCCACTGACACCAATGATGGGGCACTATTCCTTCCCCTGACACCAATGATGGGGTACCATTCATCCCACTGACAGCAATTGTCATTTTTTTTTTTCCCCCCCCAAACCTATGGCATTAATTATTCCCACCAATGCCAGGGCATTTTCTACTCCCACTGTCCACGGTCTGCCCCCCCCCTAAAGTTTGAAGGGAAGTAAACTGGCCTGTTGTTTTGAAAGTTTGGAAACCTGTGGTCTAAGGGGCTGTGATACTTACCTGACTCTCTGCTCCAGCAAACTCCCTGGATCCATACAAGTGGTCTGCCACAGCCCTCTCTGTAAGCTGCTTCTGGCTGCAGGTACACTCTTGCCTCACCATGTACAATACAGGGTTAATAGCCCTGCACTGTATATGATGATACAGAGGGGCCCCCCACACACTGGAGGTTCAGGAAGAGAGGAGAGTGCCAGAGCCTGATGGAGTTGGGTAAATAATACAGCCTCTTATGCAACCCCTGCGCTTAAAGCAGAATTAAACCTCCACCCAAATTTTTTTTTTTTTTAATTGGGCCCCAGGAGCTTTTTGTCGCAATGTGTTAGTAAACATCTTCGCACATTACTGTATATCAGACTTGCCTGGCAAGCATGGGTGCTGCCATCTTGTCCTGGTCTTCTTTTCAGGTTCCAAGCTCTCTGCTTGGTTGTGGCATAGAGCAGTGTTGTAAATGTTGGGTGAGCTGTGCATGCGTGACCCAGTGTACATAAACACTGACAGGCAGAGAGAAGGGTTTTTAAAATGCTTTATTGCCATATGCAAATATTTCTACATTAAACAAGTATTTGGGTATGCCAAAACAATCCGTAGTCAGTAAAAAATACGAACATCCAGGGATGTTTGATTCCTATCGCCTGATGTCCGGGACATGTAGATCTGGGCAAGTCGAGTTCTTTTTTTTCTACCTTTTAGCCCTGCTGCAGGCAAGCAGCAGGCTCACCTGTCAGGTGGAAGCATTTGGCGGCGCGCTGCTGCCCGATTGCTTCCACACAGTAACATCCGGACCCCGTGGTGCGACCGCATTATATTTCAGTGGAGCACAGGGGAGACATCCAGGGATGCTTCAATAAAGAGACCTTGTCACCAAAAAAATCATCACATAGGGGACTTTTTCTCCTGTGTGATGAAAAAAAAAACAAATTAAAAAAAAAAAAAACTTTTTTTTTTTTTTTTTTTTTCCAATTGTAAATAATGAAATTTACACCCAAGCACATGCCCCTCCAAAATTGAGGCGCCCCCCCCACCCTCACATATACGCACATAAAAGCACACGCTGGGGCGCCTATGATTGAAAATGTCAATTGTGATACACTTGTCACATATCGCCGCGCATGCTAGAATGAGAGCAATAATTCTGGCACCAGACCTCCGCCATAACGCTAAACTGATGATCTATAAGGAGCTTTAAATGTGTCGACCTATAGAAAATATAGGGTACTGAAGTTCCTCGCCATATCTCGAGCGCGCACAAATTTAAGGTTTGACAAGTTGGATATCTATTTACTCCGGGCAACCTCATCTTTTATATTTTACAAAAAATAGGGTAATTTATTGCTTTTTTTGTACCCTAAAATATTTTTTACTGAAATCTTGTGGTAATATCATGCAACAGAAAAAATTGAAACTACCAGTATTTATTCTCTAGGGCAGTCTTTCTCAACCAGGGTGCCTTGAGGTTTCTTCAAGGGTGCCTTGACAAAGTGTCTAAAAGTTGCCCAAAACTAGTATACAAGCCAGCAGGTGGAACAAGCCTGCCTTTTAGTTACACAAAGCCACAAGTTTTCATTGTGTACCAATACGACCTTCTAGCCGCCGGCGTCCTGACATCCAGTGACATCACCAGTTGTAGGAGGAGGATGTCCACTGCCTGCAAAAGCATCCTTAGAACCCTCCCCTGCCCCTCTCTATCAGTGCTGCGGTCAAATTAGCTCAGTGGTTGATAAAAACTGAGGGAGAAGAGAAACACTGGAATACTAGTCAGTACCAGGGTGCAAAAGTGTGTTTGCTTTGGAAGAATAAATCACCTCTAATGTTGGGTGTCCTACATGTGTGGATGTTGCTGCGCGTTATATCAAACTATTAGAATAGTTTTTCACATTTTAGAATGGGGTGCCTCAAGACTGTCTATAATTTTAAAGAGTGCCTTGACTGAAAAAAGGTTGAGAAACACTACTCTAGGGTCTCTGCTTTCAGAAAATATATCATGTTTTGGGGTTTTTATGTCATCTTCAGGCCTAAAATGATTTTTTAAGCTGTGCAAAAAATGCAATAACGGCTCTGGCAGCGAAAAGGATAAAGTATAAGCCCTGACCCACCCTTTCCTGAGGAGCAGCCAATCGGTGCTCATTACACTGCAAGGTCTCTCCCCTCCCTGCTAGTCCCCGGGTGCGGTGCTGTAGATGAGGCAGGGAGGGGAGGAGGAGATAAACAGCGCAATGTGAAAAATATTAAACATTTAACCACCTCCCGCCCCGCCATATAGTAAAATGACGGATGTAAGGTGGTTCTCTCGTACTGGGAGGACGTCATATGACGTCCTCCCATTCTCGCCGCGCATGCGCGGCTCAGGGAGCGCGCAGCGCGGCGATCGACGGTGCGCTGTGTCCCTCGGACACAGCGAATCACTGATCCACAGAAAGAGACGAAGATGTTGGCTTGGTCATGTGATCAGCTGTGTCCAATCACAGCTGATCACATGTAAACCGGGAAATGCCGGTTATCGGCATTTCTCTCTTCTCGAGCTGTCACGCTGACAGAGGAGACACGGTAATCAGCTTTCCGCAGAGGGGACATGTGCACTGATTATCAGGGCACTGATGATCAGTGTGCCCTGATGATCAGTGTAGCCCCAGCAGTGCCAACTGTCAGTGTTCATCAGTGCCTCGTGCCAGTGCCCATCAATGCCACATATCAGTACCTACCAGTACACAATGCCACATATCAGTACCACCATACACAATGCCACATATCAGTGCTCATCTGAGCTTCCTTTCAGTGTCACCCATCGAGAGGAGAGGAGAGCCAGTAATCGGCATTCCGCGGAGGGGACATGTACACTGATCATCAGGGTACTGATGATCAGTGTGCCCTGATGATCAGTGTAGCCCCAGCAGTGCCACCTGTCGGTGTCAATCAGTGCCACATCAGTGCCACATATCAGTGCCTACCAGTGCACATCAATGCCACATATCAGTGCCCATCTGACCTGCCTTTCAGTATCATCCAACAGTGCCAGTCAGTGCCATCTATCAATGCCAATCAGTGCCAGTCAGTGATGCCTGTCAATGTCCATCAGTGCCACCTATCAGTGCCCTCATCAGTGCCACCTATCAGTGTCCATCACTGCAGCCTCATTAGCGCACATCAGTAAAGGAGAAAAATCACTTATTTACAAAATTTTATAATAAAAACTAAAACATTTTTTTTTTTCAAAATTTTCAGTGGTTTTTGGTTTAGGAAAAAATAAAAAACCCAGAGGTGATTAAATACCACGAAAATAAAGCTCTATCTGTCACAAAACAATTATAAGAATTTCATATGGGTACAATGTTGCATGACTGCGCAATTGTCGTTCAAAGTGTGACAGCGCTGGAAATTGGCCTGGGCAGGAAGGGGGTATAAGTGCCCTGTAGGCTTGTGGTTAAAGCCCCTTTTTGTTTTTAAAAGCCCCAGACATTCCTAATATCACCTCCGATTTAAATACAGTTTTGGTTAAAAAAAAAAAATTTCTTATCTGGACAAGTAGATTATCATAAGGGACAAGTAGATTGGGGCACCGATTTAGTCCCTGGACAAGAAGTTTTTTTTCAAAATTTCCACACCCCTGATACCATGCACTCCCAACATTTGACATACTAAGTGCACAACCCTACATATACTGTCCTTCCAGAACTGCAGGACTGACAGGTTTGACAAACCTTGTGCTTATTACACATCCAAATGAAATGTGAATACTACTGATCTACTAGCTACACCTCACCTTGTATAAATCTATCTAGTAAGTGTCGCACAGTAGTAACCTGTAACTTTATACCATGTGTTCAGTCTTATATTTCAAATCTGTATATATATTAATAAAAAAAAAGTCCAAGTGTCTATATATCCTTGCAGACATCTATAAATCATGATGCTGTATTTATTTTTTCACCTGTGCAAAACTGTTTTCCAACCTTCCACTGTAATTTTTTTTTAAATTCTCCAATATATTCTTTCACCACCTGTATATATTCCTTCCACAACATTTACAGTATATTGCCAAAATTAATGGGACGCTTGCCTTTACACGCACATGAACTTTAATGGCATCCCAGTCTTAGTCCGTAGGCTTCAATATTGAGTTGGCCCACCCTTTGCAGCTACAAGAGCTTCAAATCTTCTCGGAAGGCTGTCCAAAAGGTATAGGAGTGTATCTATGGAAATGTTTGACCATTCTTCCAGAAACACATTTGTGAGGTCAGACACTGATGTCGGACAAGAAGGCCTGGCTCACAGTCTTCGCTCTAATTCATTCCAAATGCGTTCTATCGGGTTGAGGTCAGGACTCTGTGAAGGCCAGTCAAGTTCCTCCACCCCAAACTCGCTCATCCATGTCTTTATGGACCTTGGTTTGTGCACTGGTGTGCAGTCATATTGGAACAGGAAGGGTCATCCCCAAACTGTTCCCACAAAGTTGGGAGCATGAAATTTTCCAAAATGTCTTGGTATGCTGACGCCTTAAGAGTTCCCTTCACTGGTACGAAGGGGCCAAGCCAACCCCAGAAAAACAACCCCACACCATAATCCCCATTCACCAAACTTTACACTTGGCACAATGCAGTCAGATAAGTACCATTGTCCTGGCAACCGTCAAACCCAGACATATCCATTGGATTGCCAGAGAAGTTTGATTCGTCACTCCAGAGAACATGTCTCCAGTGCTCTAGAGCAGGGATCTCCAAACTTTCTAAACATACAGGTGAAACTCGAAAAATTAGAATATCGTGCAAAAGTTCATTTATTTCAATAATGCAATTTAAAAGGTGAAACTAATATATGAGATAGACTCATTACATGCAAAGCAAGATAGTTCAAGCTGTGATTTGTCATAATTGTGATGATTATGGCTTACAGCTCATGAAAACCCCAAATCCACAATCTAAGAAAATTAGAATATTGTGAAAAGGTGCAATATTCTTCAAAGTGTCCCACTCTAATCAGCTAATTAAGCCATAACACCTGCAAAGGGTTCCTGAGCCTTTAAATGGTCTCTCAGTCTGGTTGAGTAGGAATCACAATCATGAGAAAGACTGCTGACCTGACAGTTGTGCAGAAAACCATCATTGACACCCTCCGTAAGGAGGGAAAGCCTCAAAAGGTAATTGCAAAAGAAGTTGGATGTTCCCAAAGTGCTGTATCAAAGCACGTTATTAGAAAGTTATGTGGAAGGAAAAAGTGTGGAAGAAAAAGGTGCACAAGCAGCAGGGATGACCACAGCCTGGAGAGGATTGTCAGGAAAAGGCCATTCAAAAGTGTTGGGGACTTTCACAAGGAGTGGACTGAGGCTGGAGTCAGTGCATCAAGAGCCACCACACACAGACGGATCCTGGACATGGGCTTCAAATGTCGTATTCCTCTTGTCAAGCCGCTTCTGAACAACAAGCAACGTCAGAAGCGTCTTATCTGGGCTAAAGGAAAAACAGACCTGGTCTGTTGCTCAGTGGTCCAAAGTCCTCTTTTCTGATGAGAGCAACTTTTGCATCTCCTTTGGAAACCAAGGACCCAGAGTATGGAGGAAGAATGGAGAGGCACACACTGCAAGATGCTTGAAGTCCAGTGTGAAGTTTCCACAGTCTGTGTTGATTTGGGGAGCCATGTCATCTGCTGGTGTTGGTCCACTGTACTTCATTAAGTCCAGGATCAATGCAGCCATCTACCAGGAGATTTTGGAGCACTTCATGCGTCCTTCCACAGATGAGCTTTATGGGGATGCTGACTTCATTTTCCCGCAGGTCTTGGCACCTGCCCACACTGCCAAAAGCACCAAAACCTGGTTCAATGACCGTGGGATTACTGTGCTTGATTGGCCAGCAAACTCGCCTGACCTGAACCCCATAGAGAATCTATGGGGCATTGCCAAGAAAAAGATGAGCGACATGAGACCGAACAATGCAAAAGAGCTGTAGGCCGCTATGGAAGCATCCTGGTCTTCCATAACACCTCAGCAGTGCCACAGGCTGATAGCTTCCATGCCATGCCACATTGAGGCAGTAATTGCTGCAAAAGGGGCCCAAACCAAGTACTGAGTACATATGCATGCTTATACTTTTCAGAGGTCCGATATTGTTCTATGTACAATTTTTGTTTTATTGATTGCATGTAATATTCTCATTTTCTGAGATTGTGGATTTGGGGTTTTCATGACCTGTAAGCCACAATCATCACAATTATGACAAATCACGGCTTGAACTATCTTGCTTTGCATGTAATGAGTCTATCTCATATATTAGTTTCACCTTTTAAGTTGCAATACTGAAATAAATGAACTTTTGCACGATATTCAAATTTTTCGAGTTTCACCTGTAGAGCCAGTTTACTGTCCATCAGACTTTCAGGGGGCTGGACTGTGGACATTGGGAGTAGAAATTGTCCCGGCATCAGTGGGAGTAAACAATGCATCTTTGGTATTAGGGAGCGGAATAGCGTCCCTTCATTGGTGTAAATGGGAGGAATCGTGTCCAATTGTTTGTGGGACGAATAGTACCCCATCATTTGTGTCAGTTTGAGGAATAGTGCCCTACTGTTGGTATCATTGGGGGGAGGGGGGATAGTGCCCCATCGTTGGTGTTGGTAGCAGGAATAATGCCCCATCATTGGTGTCAGGGGGAATACTGTCCTATTGTTGGTGTGAGTGGGGGAAAATGGTGCCCCATCAATGGAGTCAGTGGGATGAATAGTGCCCCATCATTGGTGTAAGAGGGAGAAAATAGTGCCTCATTGTTGATGTCAGTAGCGGTAATTATACCCCATTGTTGGTGGGAGGAAAGGAATCGTGTCTTGTATCAGTGGGAGGAAAAGTGCCCTGAGAGCCAGATAAAGGCAAGCTAAGGGCCACATGTCGGTGTGCTTTACACCACTGCATCTTGCTCTATTCTTTGCACTTGGTGATGTAAGGCTTGGATGCAGCTGCTCGGCCATGGAAACCCATTCCATGAAGCTCTCTATGCACTATTGTTGTGCTAATCTGAAGGCCACATGAAGTTTGCAGGTGTTAAAGCTATTGACACTCTGCAGACAGTTGGCGACTTATGCGCAATGTGCACTGCAGCATGTGCTGACCCCGCTTTGTCACTTTACGTGGCCTACCACTTTTGTTGCTTCCACTTTGTTATAATACCACTAACAGTTGACTGTGGAAATTTAGTAGCAAAGAAATTTCACAGATGGACTTATTGCACAGGTGGCAACCTATCACGTTACCATGCTGGAATTCACTGAGCTCCTGAGAGTGACCCATTCTTTTACAAATGTTTGTAGAAGCAGTCTGCATGCCTAGGTGCTGGATTTTATACACCTGTGACCATGGAGGTGATTGGAACACCTGAATGCAATGATTTGGAGGACTGGCCCAATACTTTTGGTGTTATAGTGTATATGCTCTCACTTTATATTCTGACCTAACAGTAGGTCTCATGCACTTGCCCCTTTAAGTGGGGTCTCCTATTCCATGGTTGTTATGCCTTTTCTCCAGCTTATTTATGCTTCTTAACACAAGCCTACAGGGTACTTTATACCCCCTTCCTGCCCAGGCCAATTTCCAGCTTTCAGCACTGTCACACTTTGGGTGACAATTGCACGGTCATGCAACACTGTACCCATATGAAATTTTTATAATTTTTTTTGTGACGGAGCTTTTTTGGTGGTATTTAATCACCTCTGGGTTTTTTTTATTTTTTTTCATAAACAAACCAAAAACCACTGAAGATTTTGAAAAAAAAAAGTTTTTTTCTTATGCAGGCCATAGATGGGGAGAAAAAACTGCAGATTTTTTCTTTTAAAAAAGAAAAATCGGTTTGTTCAAGTGGCCGACGTTACCTATCAATGGTAAAAAAATCGGCCGATTTTCTACCCGTCTAGAGCCGGCAAAAAGTGTCCCTGCAGAGAGCTCTGCTATTTCTTTGACAGTTCTCTGACAGTTCCTTGACATTTATAGAAGTTGCAACAATGTATCTATTTGTTTCCATTTAGGATACAGATGTTTTTATTCGGAAACATAGATACAATGTTTCAACCGCTGTAAATGTCAAGGAACTGTCAGAGAACTGTCAGAAATAGCGGAGCTCTCTGCAGAGACACTTTTTGCTGGAGAGTGAATTCTTCTTATTTTCATCCTGAATCCTCTTCTTCCTCTTCTTCCTCTTCTTGTTTTCTTCTTCTCTTCCTCTTCCTCATCCTCATCCTCTTCTTCTTCTGCATGCTTCTATCTTCTGCCCTTTCTCCTCTTCTTCTGATGACTGCATCCTCTCTTCTTCTTTCTTCTTCATCCTCATCCTCTTCTTCTTCTTCTTCATCCTCATCCTCCTTCATCTTCTTCTTCTTCATCCCCATCCTCTTGCATCCATCCTCATCCTCTCCCCTTCTTCTCATCATCCTCAGGGGTTCATCATCATCCTCACTTCATCATCCTTCTTCTCTTCTCTTTCAGCCTCCTCTTCCTTCTTCTTCCATCTTCTTCTTCATCTCATGATCTTCTTCCCTCATCCTCTTCTTTCTTCTTCTTCATCCTCTTCTTCTTCATCCTCATCCTCTTCTTCTTCATCCTCATCTTCTTACTTCCTCATCAATCCTCTTCAAGCCTTGGTGTCATCATCCTCTTCTTCTTCATAGTTCTTCTGTTCTTCTTCCTCATCCTCTTCTATGCATCCTCATCCTCATCTTTTCATTCCTCATCCTCTTCTTCTTCATCCTCTTCTTCTTCTTGCTCTCACATCCATCCTCTTTGGGTCATCAATCCTCATCCTCTCTCATGCACCTCATCCTCTTCTTCATCCTCTTCATCATCACTCATCCTCATCCTTCTTCTTCTTCATCCTCTTCTTCTTCTTCCTCTTCTTCTTCATCCTCTTCTCTCTCCTTTCCTCTTCTCTCTTCCTCAATTGGGGTCTCCTTTTTTCTTCTTCATCCTCATCCTCTTCTTCTTCATCTTCTCTTCTTCTTCATCCTCATCCTCTTCTTCTTCCTC